TATGGTACAATTTACATTTTCGTTTTCCACAAACTGCATAGAAGGTGAAAGATACCTGTTGTCTTATAGAGATTTACCTTTATTTCATACACTATATCACCTACCATTCCAATAACATTTTCTCAAATTAATTCAGAATTTGAAGACCATGAGGCATGTATCACTTGCTGACACCTATATACAGAAGAATCCTTTTGAAACTGGCTATTACTTAGTGATTATATTTACAACAAATTGTGTAATGAAACAGTGCAGTATTAATATGTAATTCATGAATCGACCATGTACTTTTATGCAGGCAATTAAAAGTTATGTGGCTGAGCTTTAGGAGGTTGCTGAAGAGATAAATTTGAGAGGAAATTGTAAACAGATAGTTATTCTATTTTCCACCATTTCAGAGTTACATCATGTTTGTATGGTGGAGCCTTAATAATACCATAATACAGAGCTAATACTGCATTCAGTTATGGCTCACAATACTTCCGATGACAAAGTAATTATAATGGCAAAATGAAATGTCATAATTTAGTAATGCATAGTATGCCATTATTCATTTGATATATGCTTTCTGTGATATAAATGTTAGAACTGCACTGAGGGAATACTAGGAAGAGTATCCAGATTTGAGACAATGAAAGCACTTGTGTTTGCAACAGTACACTGCAATTGGAGAGGTAAGTTGCATTCATGCTAGCATCCCAAGTTGACCATGGCTGATATACTCTACAAAGGGAGAAGAAATGTTTGATATTGTACATACTAATCAACTGATTAGCATTTATAGATTCCCAGAGTGCAGTCTGGTATACACTGCACTTGAAATAGCTGTACCCTTTTCATGTATAAGTTGTAAAAGGGCTACAGCCAGTGGATTAAAGTCTTTGTCTCCAGTGCTGTCAGTGTCTTCTGCACAAAACTGTAGATAAACCTGAATTTTTATGCCGTGTGTTATGGATAAACGAGACAGCTTTCATAAGGAGTAGAGTGAATACTCCCCACAGTCCACATGAATGGGCACTGTGGAATCCTCATTCTACTAAATGCTCTTCATTTCAACAAAGATACAGCATCAGCATTTAGGCGAGAATCATAAATATTTATATACCTGGACCATACATGATAGAAAATCATCTAAATTGAATCCAGAACACTGATTTTGTTGAAAGAACACTGCCCCCTTAGCGTAAGGTGTGCCCCATAATGTTCATGAGAGTGTGCAGTCTCGGCATGATGGCACCATTCCCCACTTTTCACATCAGGTGTGTAACTGGCTAAACAACTGTTTTGCAGCCATGTAGATTTGCCATGGAGTCCAACTATCTGCCACACACTTTCTCCTTATCTGAACTCGCCTGATTTTTCTTATGGGGTAACATCAGTGCTAATGCTACAGAAGTACAAGACTGTGATAAACTGATCAACTGCATCCTTTTAGTGGCTAACCTAGACAACTGGCTTACATCAGCTACTCCATCTGAAGTCACTGTGAAGCTTGCATACATGTTGGAGGAGAAAATTTTGAACAGATTTTTTGAGGAAATACTCAGAACTGTATGAGTCCTTACTATGCAATCAGACATTTGTGTTAAATATAATATAAAATTCAAACTGAAAATAACTGGTAAGTGCTTTTCATTCATTGCAATTAAAAGTATTAAATAAAGATGTTAAATTAGGTAGCCAAATGTATAGAGAGTCATGTCATTTCCTTAAAAAGCTGAAAAATATCATAACCTGAGGAGAGTTTTAAATTGAACAACAATATATTTACACTTTTTGGTCCAAATTATCTCTCCAACAACCTGATAAAGTATGGCCCTATGATTCTGAATCATTCTGCACATATTCTGTGTTCAGTGAGAGAAAATTTTTCTATTGTACTCGTATTTTCATTTTGTTGCAAACTGAAAGTCTTTCAGCCCCAGTGGTAAATTTCTAAAGCATATGAAACAACACATATTCTCACTTTAAATTCAGGTCTAATTTCCATAATACTTTTAATATTCACAGTCATGTACCTGATGAATGAAAATCTATCTCATTTGTAATTCTGATATTCTGTTATTATGGCTGGCAGATTCTGTCACTGCAATTTTCCCTATTTCAGAGTCCTGTCTTTCAATCTGAGACTAACTGTTGGCCTTGCATTTAAATCATGCCTCTTTTCATTTCAAACAAAGTGCGACATCTTGTTGACAAAAGCCTCTCAGAACCTGATTATATTATCCTTTTGTAGCTCATGCATAATTCATATCCATACCATTGTATGTATCTTTTAATTTCATTCCATTTTCTATAGTACTTTAACTTTCAAACCTTGCAGAATGTAATTTTTTCCTTATTTGATGTTCATGTCTTTCAACAGCTTCTTGTCTCTTTATATCCTTCTTCCTGTAGTCAAGTTTCTGCTTATGCCAAACTATACAAGTAATTTGCAGTTCAATATTCCTGCTTCCACGTCTTTAAAAAATAACAACATTTTTTACATGCACCAGTCACCAAGAGTTATATTTTATAGCTTCTATTCTAATAACCATCACACAAATATTAACCATATATGTCATTATGGTGTAGTCTATTCTAATACTTGCTTCTGCTTTGACCATTATCAGGCAGAAGCCAGTATGCATCACACTGCATAGTAACTGGAACTGTAAAAAGGATGAAAATTTAGTTATTATTTATCAGTAGGGTCAGTGCTAGTCTTCTTTAACGACAGGAACAAATTAATATTTTCAATTATCTAGGATATAATATATGTGTATCTTACTAAGGAGACCTGGATTTCAATGTATAGATTGTAAATTCTATTGAAATACTAGGAATTGTAAGTCAGATTTGCAAACCAATGTTCTTAGGAATGCAAACTTACTTGACAAACATTATTTTATGGTAATGAATCATAGACACTATGAAGATTGAGGTCAGCAGGTATGTGTTTCATAAGGAGGACTGTGGGAAGCATCCTCTTGGCTGTGGGACACCCTTCTTGGACAAAAATTAAGTGAATAAATTATGAGAGGATTACAGTTTCAGAAATAACAATATGGAAGAAACTAGAGAGGCCATAATGAACAGAAGAGCTCTGACAGAATTCCTAAAAACATTCAACTGAAGAGTTAAATTTTGAAAACCTCTGATCAGCCAGTATAGTGACAGGCTGTGATCTGGACAGCCAGGGTTTGATTCCTGCAGGTGCAAGAGCATTTTCTATTGTCTGCAGCGTCCAGACCAGCTTTGGGGGCCACCAAGCCTCCTATCCAGTGGGTATTGGTGGCTCATTCCCTGGGATTAAAGCAGACAAGGCGTGAAGCTGACTATTTACTTCCAACTAGTGCTGAGGTCAAGAATAGTGGAGCTGTACCTCCACTTCACAACATATCTTCATGGTGTAGTGCTTAATTAATTAAACACGGGGACTTTACCTTTACCTCAGAAGCAATAGAAAGATCCTGTTTTCTAACAGTTTTTATTAGGCCTAAGACTAAAAAGGGTTGTGATGGTAATTACGGATCCAAAGCCAAAGTTTACCTGTATATTGGAAGAGCCTATACCTTAAAGCTAGATATGGTTAAAGTTTAGTATGATCGTTACTAGAATAAAAGCTTCGCACATACAAATAAAGTGCATTATTATAAAATTTCTTATAGCTATAATCCATTGGTAGTTTGTTCAGTTTCTCGCTGTATACAGAGAGGCACTTCATTTTTCATTGTGACCAGAATGGTCCTGCAAATTATGATGCATGTGAGTGTAATGTATAATTTCAGGATTATACATTTATGCTTAATTTTTAAAGTAGATGAAAAAGTCTGCCTATCTTCAGCCAAGATGAGTCAGACTCATAAGTCACCTGCATTCTTACTCATTTCTTATTCACAAAAAAAGAATGTTCTGTCACCTTACATTGTAATCTCGTTTGGTGAAATTTAAACACAGTACTGATAAATCATGAACATCTTCCATGTCAAATGTTTTACACTTAGGGTCTATTGGCATCTTCTGAAATTTAGGAACCCAGAGCTAATTCATTTTGATGAGTTCTTAGTTCCAAATATTTTGATGAATGTATAAATATATCATAGCTGAATTTCACTATGCTGGAAACATGGAAATATCATGATAGAGAATGTGGTTTAATTTTAAAATTTCATGGTATTATCTTCTTTTAGTATTATGAGATATGATATGAATGTTAAGACAAACGGGAGGTGAACATTATTATCTCATATATATCACTGTGTAGTCTGGTAGATGTTTACCAATGTTTCTGAGGAACTGGTGCCTTCATATGCTACCCTGAAGATGAAGGCAGTAAGTTCCACCTATAAGTTAGCAATCATCTACCAGACTACATGGTATCATATTTTAGAAGACCATAGTTTAATTTATTTGTGTTATTCCATGTATGCATCAGATACAAGAGTACGGCACATAATAATATTTTACTTTGCAACTGTATCACATTCATGATGAAATATTTTACACCTTATATGCAGTTATGGAATACTTTGATGATAATTACTGTGTGTCCTAGAAGCTATATTTATATGGACTTTTGTATAACTTGGTCAAGTTTGCTTTCAATATAAGAATGGATTTGATGATTTACAGAAGTTAAAAAGTATATGAATATAAAAAGGAAGCAATCAGCAAGCTGGAAGATATTTTCTAAAGAGTTTTATCTATAGTACATTATGAGAAAGAAGATGCTTCCACTTTATTGAATGGAGTAGCTTAAAAATACTCAATATAAACTGGTTTTCTAATATTATAATCTTTCAGCTTGCATGTTCAATTTGTACTGTATGGAACTATGTAAGAATAAGGTTAGAAAACTTTCATTACATTTCTTTTTATAACTGGTACATAATAATTCATTTTATGATAATAATTCTTACCTGACCCACGAGGTAGGTGCCTAAAACCAACCAGGACATACATGCAAACCAGTTTTTAGTGATTAACATTGTACCAATTAGGTGAAAAGATTTGCCTACCTGTCCACCTTCGCCCTCCACGCTCTGCAGCTCACGCCAGTCTTCAATAGTCTGTGCTAAGTCGACTTGACACAGAGGTAATTTCACCTCACCAATCTGATCGTGCTTTGAAAAGCGATCAAAGTCAAATATGGCAAATACAAGTGTTTTGTTCATGGCATCTGCATAAGGGACATTCTGTAAAAACAAGCAACAGTTCCATAACAAATTTATGTCTGTATGTGTGCTGGAAGCCCATATTTCTCCGGATTATTCTTGGTATCTTATTGTTTTTATAACTTCTCAAAGATGACATCCTCTCTGTAATCGATTCACTTGACACAATTTTACTGTCATTACTTTATGTAATTTTCAAGGTGTTGTTTAGGGTATTTTGATCAACGTAACTGTAAATGTGTCGCTCTTATATTATCTGCTACCAAATGTAAACAGATGAATTACAAACTAAATCCATGTCCATATTTTAGGAGTGATTCTAACATGTCTTTCATTATTCTTTGTGAATTATGTTGTGTTTAGTGTGAGTTATCCAAACGAAACATCTATTCTGCATATTACATATATTCTTTTTTGAACACTATGTGTGTCAACTTCAGCCATCTTATATACACTAATGTTACATAGAATATTGTACCTTGAAGGTGAAGGTTTCATTGAAGACGGGGCTTAGTGTTTTTCGGTGAACTTTAGTCTCAAATTTTTTCTTCTTGTCTGGAAGTAGATAGACCTTAACATATGGATCAGATGTGCCACCCATATCTAGAGCAGGTAGATCTTCTGCTTGAATCACTGTCACAGCCAAGCTGTTTGCATTGAAGTCATACTCCAGCTGCAACAGAATATATGATTTTCAAAGTTTCTTATATTTGGATATGATAAAGTGCATAAGCATCACTCTTAAGCTCAAGGAAATCACAGTTCCTAAAGAGTCAGTAAACTTCAGAACTTCAAAGATTCACATTATGTTGTATTAAAGTACCTCTTCTTTTGAAAGGAAGTGTTTACACAACTAGAGGATTTTTCTGCAATAAAGAATTGTGTTCTTTTAGTTTGTCCTTTAATGACACCATCAATATGGTATTGCCAGTTCTTAATTAATAAAAATAGACAAAAAGTAAACTAGACAGTTTACTAGAAAGAAGAAATAAATGTAAAAAAGAATAACCTCAGAACTGATGTATATTTGTGCCTGATTCTGCAACTTTTTACTTACTGTATTTATATTCAGTAGGTTCATATTTTTTAAACCTGTAAAATATAATTGATGGAAGTATAGAGATTACATAATATTTATGTATCTATGTTTGCAACCAAATACCGTGGAGCAGGTTCTTACTCTGAGAAATGATCCAACTTCCTTGTCTTCTCTTAATTCTCTTTGTATTTTCTTAATTAATATTTTCCTTCTATTATTGTATGAGACAGCAAATTTATGTTCTTATGAACTGACCTTATACTGCAGTCGTCCCAGCTTCACTTCACTCTGTTTGCTCTCAGCTTCATCAGCTCCATCTTCAGCATTTTCTGTTAGTTCCTCCATATCAGGCTGAACCTGAGCCATATGTACCATATCAACACCACAACCAACAAAACTTCAGAAATATACCACAGCTGTTCTACCCAGCCATTTTTACAATTAAAAATATGTGGCCTTTATTTATTTCTTGCTATTCTAATAGATTAATATGCAATACTCAATCTAAATACCAACTTAAGATAATACATACCAATTTTCTGTGTATAAATACTACAATTTCCTGATATACTGATAGGAAGGAACATAGTGTATCTCCCAAGTGTTCATTATTAAAGGACAGTAAATACTCTTGTAATTAGTTATCATGGCCATACACCAAACCTTATACAGAAATACAGCATAGTTCATAACAAAATATTTGTTAAATTTAATCACCAAATAATTAATATTAAAAAGACAAAATATGCATAAAATAAAAATATCCATGTATTTTAAAGCGTTTTTGATAGCTTAAGGCTTATATGAGTGTATTATTCATGTTCAGAAGCATTAAATTAACTGGATCATGGTATTAGTAATAAAAATCAACAGTCCTATACCCTCAGTACAGCACTTATAAAGAGTATGCTAAGTCTGAGTTAATAATGTACTTTTCTTGCTTAATCTCAGAATAATAAAGTTAGAATAAAGATAAAAATATATCATTACCACCTAATGTTATCTAATATCCATGAATTCAATCAACCTAAACCTCATGATGAATGCAACAGCAGCAGCATGCATGAGCAGCTTTTCATACTTGTTTTGCACTGCATTTCAGTTAACTGTACCTATGTATTTTACAGTGAAATCTACTTGCTTTCTAAGACAGAGAAGTATGTAGCTTACTTTTCTTTAATGTGAACTCATATATATGCCGGTATTTTTATTTTTATTTGAAGACAAATTAAGGCAAAATAGAGTAATTAATAAAATACAATAGAAGAATAATATAAATATTTATTATTATTATTATTATCAAATTATGATAAAAATGAAAATACTATAAATGTATGAAAGTAAGACTAGCTTCAATGCAATTTAATAGATTTCATTAATTCCAAAGATAACATTCATTGTTTAAAATAATATACTATTAATATTATTACTGAGTTCACATTACTGAAAGTGCTTGGAGTAATTTTAGCATAGCTATGAGTCACATGCTCTTTATGTGAGTAAGATAACTTTCAATTGTGAAACAACATGCCAAGCACTGATGTAATTGAGTACAAGAGAGATTATCTGTTCTCAAAATGCTATATGGGATCTAACCTAATTATATATTTGACTTGAGGTAATAATTTTTGTCAGTGAAAATTGTATATAAATTGGAGTGTGCTGGAAAATAATTATGTTGACAACCAGTTTTAATTCACTGATTGAACTTTATAAATATGTCAAATTTTACCACTATCATTTGCATGCGAAGGTAGTGTTGTTTATTATTTAATCAGTGAATTAAAATCATATGGAGACAATCCAAAAACCATATAAAATTAGGATTATTCACACTCTTGAGCATCTAATTCATAACGTGCATGAACAATGATAACTTCATGAGAAGTGGCAGTAACATGGAGCAAATTCTAATCAGGGTCAATGAAATCTATACAATTTACTTTGCAGTAATATCTCCATATAAAACTTCAAATTAAAGGTAAGAGTGATTTCAATGCAGGATAGCATTAGTCCTGCTTAATATGAAAATTTTAATCTATGACAGTAAATCCTAATTAAATTTTAACAAATAACAAAGTATTTAAAATGCAAAGAAATTTCTTCTGATCAAAAAAAATCATGCCACAAAATCAAAACTAATGAAAATGATTTCCAAAAATTATTCTTTATGAGCTGAAGTTCAGGCATCGAGTTCATAGAACACAACACCATTATGTGGTCAGAGTCACTCAAGATATTTAGGTCAAACGAAGTTTTTTGTCTTCTTAGTCCCTCTATATGTAACCTTCAGTTTCCTCACCATATTATTTAGTTCCTAGGATGACCAACTTCTCCCCCTTGCCATATTATTTTTCATGTCTTCTGTCAGAATATTTATTCTTGTCATCATAGGTGTTAAATGGTGTACAGTCTCTCACAATTATGTAAAATGAACTCGACAGTAAATTCTATCTGTTACTTTGTACAGTGCTCTCCCATGTATTTTATATGTATGAAGAAATACAAATTAATGTAGGAGATTCTTATCAAAATGTGGCAAACTGTTTCACATTGTAACACTTTTATCAAAATAGTTCTCTGTTGAGGAAACTGTGGAGAATTAATATTAACGCAAAATTGTGCACAAAAGCCAATTCCTCCTCCTCCTCCTCCTCCTCCTCATCATCATCGTCATCATCACCACCACCACCATCATCATCATCTGCTGTTAGAGTTATTTCATTAAATTCTGCTTCTATGAATTCTTTGACGGTTTACGTTTCTCTATCATTATTTTCATTGCCCTAAGTCATGTCATTTCCTTGGGTCAGTAATGTAATCTCAACTGTGGAAGGCAGTCTCATACCATTTTTCAATTTGCTTACTGAGGGGTGGAGTCCAACTGGGTCCACTCACCACAGCGGCCACTGATTGGCCTATTGTAGCCTGCCCAGGGTGATTATGATGATGGAGAATTTTGTGGAATGAAGATTGGCATGGGAAACCGAAGTACTCAGAGAAAACCCGCCCAGTGCCACTTTGTCCACCACAAATCCCACTTGACCAGACCCGACATCGAAACCGGGCCGCTGCGGTGGGAAGCCAGCGACTAACCAGTTGAGCTATGGTGCGGCCTTAGTCTCATACCATTCTTTGTAGATAATTTTTCCAATCTTATATCTGTTAAACTAGATTTGTAACTTTCAGTCAGTCTCTGACGTCAGAATTTCTTTGATGTCCAGATGTATTGAAACCCAGTAGTGTTCTAAAAAAAATACTTATGATACACTAATTCCAGGCTTCCTATTGGTTTCATAGACAGATTTAATCAAAATAACTAAGTGTCACTCTTATTGTTATGTTATATATGCATAATTTTGTATTTGTTGACATTTCTCTACCAAAATTCCTTGCAGTTATACTGCCTGTTTCATTATATGCATGAAACTATAGATCAATATTTTCTCCAGCTCTACAGTCATATTTCCTTAGCAAATAAAATCAGATATTTGTCCTATTACTTCTCTATCTATTTCTAATGTTACTTCTTCAAAAATTCTTTCGCATATACCTATTACTTCAGTATATTCTGTGAAAATTTTGATGTCTTATCTAGCTGGATCTAACTAGAATTTTTGTGATGAAATTTGTATCTTCAGATTTTACTTTTATTATCTGATCTAATGCAATGATATTGTTTACTTCATTTCATTGAAGAAACTTAATAAAACATATTCCCAAATTTAGTTCCAAGTTGTCTCTTGGATCACTCGATTTCTGTACTTCCTTGTTAGATAGAACATAACACCATTATAACCACTGCAATTCAACTTGTTGGTAGAAGCTGAAGTGCCTTTATTTTGTTTTGGTCTCTTATTTTAACTATTTGCATGTGACAGTAATTGTTTAGGATATATGAATCAGAATTTTTGTAGCAGGAAATGCCTAAGTTTTTATGGCAATGCTATTAATTGGTGCATACTACAAGCAGTTTGGGTTGGTAACAGCTTGAAAAAACTGGTTCACAAATATTGCTCCAGCACACACTTGAATAGAGTGATAAAAAATGTTCACACTTTTGTTTCAAAGCTCTATGAAGTGGTGGAAAGATAAGTGATACCATGCAATTTGTCTTTCATTAGCTATAAAATTATTTCATGCACTTTTTTGAACTACTTAGCCTTCAATCCAGAAGACTTCCTTCAGTCTTTGCGCATAAAAGGAAAGTTTGTAATGGTAGAATTCTTAGTTTGAAAATAGTTTTCCATTGGAAATCAGTAATGTGAACATTTTTAAACATGTTTAAATTTTAATTTACAACGTACCTTTTCTTTATAGGCTGGTCCAATCAAACTAACCCCTTTGAGGTCAAGGGCTCTTCCCTTGCCCTTTCCATCCTTCCCTCGCCTCTTCCGACAACAACGCCAAATACAACATCCACAGATCCCCAGAATCAGTATGCAAACACCTGCCACACATATCTCAAAGTGATTAACAATAATTTGAATCCAAATCCTTTACTTTACTTTCCAAAATATATTAATACAAATAAAGTGGTAAATAATGAATGTTAGTTTAACTTGATGCACAAGCAATGTGAGAACTGACATTCTTATATACAATGAGAGTGTACAAGTATAATGCAAAGAGCTCTGAGTAATCAAGAATAATGGTTACAAAGAGACTTACACCTAGACCAAAATTTGGCAATTGACACCAAGATGAAAGTAATATAAATTACTCAGAATTATTGTCACTGTGTAAGTAAGATTCAGTAGAAACCAGCCAATGGATGCTAGGTATCTAGTCACACAGACTCACCCTATGCCCTGACACATTGCAGTCTGCTGGTAAAATCAATCACATGCAATGTGCTACATTTTGGCAACCAAAATAAATTAGTACCCCCTGCAAACTTTATACTGATGGCCATATATATGAAACGCAGAGGAGTAGAAAGACATTTTGGCAGAGGATATTCCAGTATCCTTAAATGCCTTCAACATTTGCAGCCTTGAAGGCAATGACTATCAGATTCCCAGGCTTCGATATGGGTTTGCAACTTATTTTGCATCACTGACAGTAGCTGGACTATATAGTGTTGAATGGTTACTAATGAATTGGAAACAATTTGGAAAGAAGAGGTCGTATGAGTAGTCTGATCTAGATGCTGGCTTATGCATATGTCTGAAGGTACTGAGAAAAATCATGAAGAACCTTGTTCAGGATAGTTTGTGTCCCAGCTGACATTCAAACTGAAGACCTGCCAAGTAAAAAACTAGAGCATTACTGCTATACCACCCTGTTTATCAGAGGCCTTAATGAAGCAATATTTGTAAATGGTATGTCATGAACATGTTTCTACTGACCACTGATCTCCTCTAATTGCCTGAGTCAAACTTTGTTGAACATCCCTCATACTTGCCGCATCTGTGAGAGATATGGAGATTTTGAGCAAGATTTAAAATAGCACTGAACAGTACTTAAACACATACTAATTCTACTCAGTTTATGAATACTTATTGTCTAAAAAGTGACTCATCCATTTAAAGGCTTTGTAGGTAGCATAAGTTGAGACTACAGATGTATGTAGGTGGATGTATTATTGAATAGCCTCATATGTAACCACTGTGTTTCCTGTGTTTTCTTGTTTGGAAACTTCAGTTGTACTGTTCATATATTTTTGTATTTATATGACATATTCCCCCACAACCATTTCGACTAACTTTGGATCCAGGGAATGCAATGTAAGGTACTGTAATTGCCTTAACTATCCTAGGTCAACGAATCAGTTTTTGTCTGTATATTTTTAAATATAAAAGGTCACCTTTCTGCACTCAGAGCAGTGGGTATCATGATTTTGTGGTGTGCATGTGAACATATTTTGTGCATTAAAAACGGAACATAGGTAATTCTAAATAAAAGATAAAGGTATATACAGGTATTAATGATGGGAAAAATAGAGCATAAAATTAAAAAATAAATAAATATAAATCTGAAAATAGTTAAACTGCATTACTACTCTCAAAATCCATTGTGGGAATGATGACCTCCTAGGCGAAGTACAAACAAAAGAAATCATTATCACCACAGGCACCAATGAAACTGTGCATCTAGCAAGACCTTTCTTTCTTTCTTTCTTTCTTTCTTTCTCTTTGTAAGTCCAAATGGTCACTTAGTGCTACCTAGTGGCATGTGGTAAATCTACACTGGACACATGATATCTGCAATGAGAAATCAGATACAAGCAATATTAACCTTTAAACGCCGGGCTTTTGAAATGGTGGTAAGCTTGAGCTGGCCGGAGTTTATTTAAATGACCACTGTTGGTGCGCGTTTAATTGCACGTTCCTACTCTGCGTTTCAATGTCCGTTCCTAGTAGGGCGGTTAAACAATTTTAACCATTGTGTTTAAAAATGCTGTGTCTAACACAATTTTTATGATAAATGGATGGAATTAACTTTGTTTGTATCAGCAAAGAACATAGTGTCGCATATTAAAATGAAAGATTTGAAATTTTTTATACAAGAAGTTATACTCTATTTTTCCAATTTTTCTTTTAATTTTGATGCGTACTGCAAAATTGGTGTCCCAGTTCTTCACAGAGTTATTCTGCATTATAAATACGTTTCGGTTTGTAACACATGACAAATTTAGCAGTCCCTGATGCCATAAAACATATGGAAGCAATAAAATCATTTGGTTCTCTGCTCAAAAACCTTACATCTTTGTTACACTCTTCAGATTTTCGAATCTTTTGACTAAATGACCGAAGAATGAAAGCATGGCTATTCCAGAATTGGCTAGAGGGGTCCCATCCTCAGTGCTAAGAACTTCCGTTATAGCTGCAAGAGATTATTGCCCTTTCTATGGGCGTGAACAGTGCTGCATCGTGGCTGAGATACAGAGAGCGATCTGTTTTCTGTGCGTTCGTAGTGAAATCGAATACTGTAGTTTCATTTCAGCCTATATATACATCAAGCAGATAACAAAAAAGGTATGTACATAGAATTTTACTATATATTTTTAACACATTAATCTGTAGAATCTGCAATAAAAGTACAGGCTCGTGGATGAGTTTGGGCATAACTCATACGTATACTCTTTTCGTTGTTGTTCACTTGGGTATCATTTTAATTCCTCGATTAGGGTTTCACTAAAGTCTATTTGGTAATTACTACATTTAAAAATAAATATTTAGGACCGTGCATGCGCTTCTACTAGCGGCGTGTGCGCGCGATTCCCTTACTCGTCACTGGCCCAAACGGGCCACTTCGGACGTTAAAGATTAAAGGCCAAACAGTGAAGATTACTTCAAGACTAAGATCTGGTCATGAGCGTCTGAATGGGCTCTAAATTAAGAGAAAGTTACTGGCAAACCGTCAGTAGTAAAATGATTTTGAAACGAGGCAAGATGTAAAGAGGAATTTTGTAGAAA